ATCCTCTTCGGGGCCGAGCTGATCTGGGGGTCCACAGCGGGCACGCATCGGCCCCTCCCGACCCTGGGCGGTGCCAGCCCGGCTGCTGCTTTGCCCCCGCCCCTGGAGTGGCCCCGTCACACCGGAGCCCACGCGGGACCCGGGGCCTGCGGGTGGAGGAGCGCAGAGGCCTCGGCTCTCTCCGGTCCCCGCCCCCCTCGTCCCTGGGGCGTCAGCCCCAACTTACTGGGCCCGCCGCTGGGGACGCGCTGGCCCGGCCTCTCCGGCCTCCATCCCCGGGCGCAGCCAGCTGTGGGCCGGTCCCCTCCATTCAGCTTCGCGCCCCCAGGACTCTCGGGACAGCAGCATGGGGTTGTGTCCTCCCGACTTCCATGCAAGTGGAAGTTAGCTGGGGGCGAATCTCAGGCTGCCAACCTCCTACAGAGAAGCAAGCGCCTATTTCCCTCCCTTTCCAGACCCGGTCGCTCCCGCGCCCCGCGCCCCGCGCCCCTCGAGGCGGTCTCTGGTCTCCGCCAGCCCATCTCGGACCCGAGGCGCAGTTAAGGGACTTCCTCCGCCTCCCTGGGGCTTCAAGACCCAACTCAGAAAGACGGCCTGCCCTCAGCACGGCCCCTCGGGCCCTTCAGCCTCAGCCGTGACGTTTTCAATGAGTGGAGGCGGCCCCTCCATTTGGGGTTGTCCGAAGCCGCCTCATCGGGGTCAGCAGCACCACAGAGGGCACCTCAGTGTCATCGGACACGGTGCCAGCTCTTCCCGTTCTGCTGATAGTAACTAATCACTGGCTTGGCCACTGTAAAACTAGTCAATAAATGAGGGAACATATTTATTAACACATAACTGATTAATGAGTGTATTATTAAGTGATTAATATAAGCTTGCATTTGAACTATTGAATTCTACATGACAAGTCACCCTAAAATGCAGTGGCTTAAAATAACAGTAAGATTTATTGTCTCTCAGTTTCTGGGATCAGGCACCAGGATTGGCCGACCTCTGTGGTTCAGGCTCCCCCCTCTCAGGAGGCTGCAGTGGGCTGCCCGCCAGGACTGCCACCCTGGGCGGTGGGACTGAGCCTCCAGGGCCCCTCTGAGGTGCCTAACCCACCTTGTGGGTGAGTAGGCTCTGGGTGCCCTCCTTGGGCCCCAGTCCTTCCTCACCTGTCCTCTCCGCAGGGCTCCGTGGGGTCCTCTGGCATGGTGGTCAGCGTCCCCAGAGCCACTAGTTAGAGAGGTCAGGCTGCCACGTCAGTGTGGCCTGGCCTCAGAGGCACCTTCATGACTTCCTCTGTGTAAACACTACAGGCCACGCAGAGCCACCTGGAGTCAGTGTGGGAGGGACAAGCCTCGGACCCCAGCAGGCATCTCCAGATCTCCAGAGTTCAGAGAGGAGGCTCATTGCCATAGTGAGGAATAAGTGGATATTTAAATAATCCATTGGTGATTGTTACGCAAATCAGTCATTACTATGACGGTTGCCAAACGATGATTTTATAATTTCACCTTTCTCCATGTGTTACTTGGCATTCTATACTACTTATTCATGCATTCATTTATATCAGTAGGAACATATAGTCTGGATTTCACTCGATGGGTTATATTCCGTTACTATTTACGTGCTCAAATTATGCCAGATTTGGCCAATTAGAGCCCCGTGAGCTGACTCCTGTGTCCTCCACCCGTCCCCATCATTCTCTAAGGACTTCCTCACTTTCTATCCGAGGCTCATTTTACGTTTTCTACTGCATTCTCAGAACCCGCCTTCTGTCCCAAGAGCCCCAATTCTTTTTAGTGGGGAATGATATTCAGAGACTGGAATTTAAATGCTAAATGGACTGGTTGCTGCTGAGATAGTGATTTCCAGCTCCTCTTAGCAGATAGAGCTGGGGAAAATGGATACGTGTATCTATCCTATCTCTGTACTTACTTGTCTATACATTGTTGCAAGCTTGTACCTACTCCTTCACTGGGAGCCACACTGCGGGTCCATTCCAGGGCTCAGCTCTCCACAGCCCTGCCTCCTCCACTATCCTCAACTTACCTTTTAAATCAGCCCCTACCCTCCTACTTCTAATTAGCTCTCAAAACCTGAGCCTGCTACTGGACTTGGGCTCAGCTGGCCCCAAACACAGGCTCCTATGAACCCCACCTCACCCCACACAGCCTGCCCAACCGTCTGGCCATCTGCCCTCTTGGGTTGGCAGGTTCCTCCTGGCGCCACCATCGACAGGCGGCTCTGAGGACAACTGGAGACCCGCACAGGACCCATACCTCTGCTGCAGTGTCATTTCTCCGGGGCCTGGTCCCTCCAGTCTGGGCCGCTCTGGTCTCTGGGAACTCCCAGATCTATGGGGCTGCAGACGGCGCTGGCCCGTGTATCCGCTGTCCGTAAAAGGGCAGCAGGTTCCTTGACCAAAAGTGTGGAGAAGGCTCACCTCAGGGTTCCCCTCCCTCCAGCATCTTCTCCCTGCAAGTTCAAAATGTATTGTTATTTCCAGCTTGTACACTTGCTCCTGTTCAGACGGATGGCCTAACACAGGTTTCTCCATCATAGCTACAAGCCCAAAACTCGTCGTGATTTAAAAATGGTATTTGCTTCAAAAGGAGTATGTTTGAATCTCACATAATTTCTCTGTGTTGTCTAAACTGTGGAAATTCACTACAGAGTAAAAACACCTATTAATTATTTAAGAAAAATAACATTATTTATGATCATTTACCACACTCCTAATTTTCTGAATCTGATATGAACTAGAGGAATTATATCTAAAACTCACATGAACTATGCAGAAGGGCAGGTGTCACTCACTTTCCCCACACTCTTTAGATAATGAATTTGAATTATTTCAAATACAAGTGGATTAATATTGTTTTGGAAATTTGTGGGTATTTATATGCTAAAGAGTTGAAATGAATGCTCTTTTTGAGACTTTTTTGGAAAAATGACATTGTCATGCTATAAAGGATGGGGTGATGCAACTAAGGTCCTGGCCCGAGAATGGATGCTGGCAGTGGTCAGTGAATTCCCAAAACTGTGTGTAGATACTTATGTCTTTTACCACTTGTAATTTTCAATATTTTTTTCAATCAGTCACACATTCAACAAGAATTGGTTGATTGCTAACCAGTGTCCAGATGCCTTGTTGGTGGTGGAGATGTGACCACAGGAGACCGCTGGGTCTCCCGGAGCTGAGCGGTGTGGATCTCTCATCTGAAATTACCACCTACCCCGGCGGACAGATGCACACGGTCTGTGACCCACTCAGGAAAATGTCCTTCACAAGTTAGGTGCTTGACACATGTGTGTCACATTTTTGAGAATGAATTAATGAACTCATAACTGATGTGTCACTGTATCCTTATCGGCATAAGACTGTTGGAGAAGATATTAAAAATACCCACTGGGCTCGGGGATATTCAAATTTGCACCTGAGGTTTTAGAGTGGGCTCCAAATAGAAATAAGCCATGAATACATTTGGCCTGGACTCATAACCAAGTCCGCAAACCTTATTTCCAGTTATATAAGTGCACCGAGCCTCTGAGGAGAAAATTAGTTTCCGAACACAAATATACTTATTTTTTCATGGGCTGAAGAGGGATGGATAGAAATATTGGAGCAACGTTGTGCGATTCTCTCCAACGTTTGCCGTGATAAAAACAACGGTGAGGCTGGCTTCCCATCTAATACTTTCCCTTTTCAATAAGTGCATTGGAAATGTATAAATTATATGAATTCTGAGAAGTCTGAACTTCTGACTGATTTCTTTTCCTGTGGAAAATCATCTGTGCATCTCCAGGGCAGATGCATATTCTTGCAAATATGCAGGGTGTGTGCGCGAGTCCTGGGAATGGTATTTTGCATAGAAATCGTTTCCAACACGTCCGTCCACCTTGCTGTTTCTGAGGTTGACTTCGATGACGTTGAGCTCAGTGCGTTACCTCAGTGCTTCACAGAATTCCACCATCTCACTAGTCTAGTTTCCAGGTAAGTAAAGGATGACCCTTTAGCTTCTCTCTCACTTTCTGCCGCGTCAACAGCGCCGTGATGGGAACCCTTTCTGCCCGTCTCCTCCTGGGGTCCCGGGGGAGCCTGAAGCGAGCAAATGGCCTCACATTCACAAACTGCACAGGAGTCCCGCATGAAATCCACTACTATTGTTCCCCCTTCCTAATTTTTGTCACAGTTCATAAAACAGTTGCACTCTTCAGATCTGCCTCACACACAGGCCTTTGCTCACCCAGAGGTCGGCTCGCTGCTGCCGTCTGTCCAGACCGCTGTCCTCGGAGTTTCCCGTAACGGGAGCCGACCAGGAGAAGAGCCGGGCGACGGGCAGAGGATGGGAGACGCTGCGCAGATGGACTCCCTTTGCCTTTTCTGGAGCCCTGGTCGTCTCGTCCCATTTCACAGATGAGGCCACGATGCCGTGAGCGGGGCCCGGGGCCACGGTGTGTGACCGAGCCCACCCGTCTGTGCACCTGACGGAAGGAAGGTGCCTAATTCACGGAACTTTGATTTCAACGCCAAATTCATCTGCCTGCTTTGGAAATTGGTTACAAATGACTCATTTGTAAAAAGCCTGGTGTTGTCTGGAACACAAAAGTACATCAGTAAAGGCAGTTACTATAATTATCCAAAATTCGTCCATTGCTATGACAGTTAGTTGTATGATAGACCGTTGAGATGAATTTGGAAGATGGACTTGGAGTCCCGATGTGACTGAGACGCTGTGAGGTTCGTGTCCCTCCTCCGTAAAACAGATGCTCCCGCCCCTGAAAGTGGGCTGCAATGCTCTTTAAATCCATCCGCAGTGTTGCCGGAATTCCTACCTTGCCCAGGCGTGTCATTGTGCAGAATGGTAATTCTGCCCATTTGTGCTTCCGTGAATTATAATTATGGAAACTCAGTGGAAAAGGGGGCCATTTGCTGCAGCGAAGATTAGCCTCTGGCGTACACAGTGCACATAGAAAACACCCGCTGGGCGTGAGACTGACAAGCCTGTTTTTGTAATGGGAACTCTGGCCCTGCGTTAGGCCTCCTCCCCTTCACGGAAACGGATCCTGACCCCATAGGAACAAAGGCTGCTTCCCAGGCCGGTGTCCACAGAGCAGCCTGTTCGCTGACACCACAGCTTGTGAGCAAAGCACAGCTCAGGCTCGGGTTAATCCGGGGGGCAACGCGCTCTCGTTGCCTGGTGATGTACATCGACCTTGATTTCAGTGTTGCCGTTTAGAAATCTTTTTATTTTTCATTTCCTTGCTTTAGACATTGGGAAAATAGAATGGGCTGTGCTGTGTTTGTCTTGAGATGCCGGATTATCCTGAAGCATGATTTATCTTTAACATGCTTCTCCCGGGCCAACTTTGAAAGGCTAAGGTGGGTGGAGGGGGCTGTTATTTCACTGCCCGGGGTGTCTTTCTGTTTGTTTCATTTTATATTTTTTATAATGGTCTGAGTCCAGCTGAAAGAACATAAAATAGGTAGTTGTAGATTATAAAGTATACCTTTAACCTACACTGACATATTGCCCAAACTACAAATTAATGAGAAGAGATTTTTATTTGAAAAAAATGCACGAATATAAAATGTCCAATCTATTTGTTCTGTAAATTGAGGATGCAAAATTTGGGATAAATCCAGGCTGGTGTCAAGAAATCCTCCCCCAGATACTGCATTTTGGGCTTCCTCCCACCTTCCATAGCCTCCTGTAAACGCTGTCAGGGAGCCTCGGAGTAAAAACGATGTTGCCTCAGTGTCAATCATGCGTGCACATGCATGTGCACACGCCAAGGCTCACATGCGCACAAGTGCACATTTACACACCCGCATGCCAACCCACACATACACACCCAGCGTACACCACATGCACTCACCCACCACATGCACACACACATGCACACATGCTTACATGCATGCATGCCAACATGCATGTGCACACATGTGCAAGTCATCCACTTCAGGCTCGAGGATGCCGATGCTCTGTTCTGGGCGGGCCTGGTGCCGAGGGCCTTGCTGCTGAGGGGGCAGGGCTGTGGAACCAGTCAGCTGGCACTGAGCCCAGCCAGGCCCTGAGTGTCACTGAGCCAGGGGACACGTTCAACTCCGATGTCTGCTGGGGAGCGGAGGCTCTGCTGGGCCCGAGACGTGAACCAGTCCTCCCCAAATCAGACGGTGGCCTGGGGTCTCTGAGATGATGGGCCAGCTGCTCTTTCTGGAAGAGCTGGGCCCCTTGTGAGCAACATTAACTCTGATCATGGACCCATTGGTTTCCCTGCTGCGAGGCCACTTCCTTTTTCTTTGTGATATTTTGGGGGAGATACTTGGAGGCCACAAAAAATTCTGTTAGTCACTGAATTTAAACCCAATGCCTTCAGATTCAGAACACTGACTGTACCATCAAAATGGGCAATTTTATGTAAACCTCCGTCTCACTTTTGAACGTTTACATCAGTGCTTCTGACAATGAACCTGGTGGGTGCACTTTCACAACTTCATGCTTCAGAAGGGTTTTTATAGTGTTTACGTGGATCGGCTGTCATCGAGATCACCAGGACTGTCCCCCTCATTTACATCGACGTGGTCACTGTGAGCCAAGATCCCCTCCTGCGGTAACACCCGCGACTCTGAGACCTTCCTGCAGCCTCAGCTGACAAGACCAGCGCCGGGCTGTTTACAGAAAGCGCAGAACCCAGGTAAACAGCCCTGGGAGCCTTCATCTCCTTGTGAGGCGAGAGAGCCACCCACGGGCATGTCCATGGCCAGATGGGACACCTTAAGAAGTCCAAGGGCAAAAGAGATCCTAAAAAATTCATTTATTTTGCACCGAGGCTGTGATGTGGGGAATAAAACCATTTATCAGAAAGATTTCACCTTGTGAGGTGCGACCGCAGGCACCTGAGAACAATGACTACAGCTCGGGGCCTGATCATCAAGCTGACGGCACATCAGAGAAGACGGTGCCGCTTTAAAGAACCTTACTTCCCTCAGAACTGAGAAACCTTTGTTTTTTATTTTTAATAATGAAAGAAAGGGCACAACCAGTACTGGTGACAGGGCCCTGCTGAGACTGTGCCCCTGGGTGGATCCTGCGGAAAGTAAACCACCGCCTGGGGTTAGCACAACTCGTCTTTTTACAGAGAAAACCGGTTTTGCATTAAGATAATGTTTGGCTGGAAGAGATTCCCAAGGTCCTTTTAAAAAGTCTGATAACCGAATCTACCAAAACAGAGCCAAATTTGCCAAGATATTCAGCAGGTTTTATTGTTTCTTCGGAGATTTATTATTTGCAGAGGTTAGAACCCAAGGAAAATAAAATTTCCTTTCACAAGCCCCCCATTCACATACAGG